CTTCAGATTCGTAATCAGCGACCCCGAAAATCCGTAGGACCACTGGAAACTTAGGTGTTTCTAATATTGCAAGTTTTGTGGAGAAAATTACCTTTAGGTAAGGATATCAAGGAAAACTGACGTGATGGAGAAATTTTGAGATCAGATTCGGATTGAGCGCCTTAAAAATTTTCAAAAAAGTGAAATCTGGTTCCTGGTTTAAGATTTTCCTACGGATGTCTGCAAACCAAGCTAAGACAGGAAACTTTTATTGATGAAGTAAACACTACCCAATTATAGATCTGGAAATGCCAGTGAACACTGATCGACAGGATTTAATTGTATTAAGTTCCTCAACAGACTTTTATAAGTATTTTAAACTCGATTTGAGAAAATAAGTTGTCTGGAATTTACGAATTATGTCTGTCTAAAGAAACACCCTATTCCCGACTTAATTTTTTATGGAAAAAAAATTTCATTTAATTTTAATATGTTTCTTTAAAATTTCCGATGTCTAATATAAATTTATGCCGGGTTCATAATCTTGTAAGATATTCCCAAAACTTTCCTCCGAGTTTTCTTTTGTGCGAGAGGTTCATTTAACTCGAGGTCCATGAAAAATATATCCTCAAGTTAAAAGTTTGCTAATGAAAAACAAAAATAGTTATATTACGCGACGCTTCGTCAAAGCACGATCTTCTTGATACGGTTCGTAAATGTGAAGTGATTAAAGCTTTGATTATTGGAGTGAGCCGGAACTGGCGTCTTGGAAAACAAAAGACGGTCTGGTGTCGTGAATGCATAAATCAATTCTTGTAATGACACGTGTCTCGAATTTGGAACGCATAGTATATCGCTGTTTTAGGCAGCACTGTGTATCAGCGCATTTAAAATCCTAATTACCATTGAAATATTTTCATTCCCAATGAGAAATGGCCGCTGGAAATGGCTTGTTCCAACCCACCGAGTTAAGCTGTGATTTAATTTTATGCAGCGGAATTCGAGACTAGCTCGCAAGTCTTCCGGAATATCTCTTTCGCAAACTTCCGGGAATCCAACGGATTGCAATGAATTTCTTAGATATCAGTGTGATGTGATCAGAGTTTACAGATATCGTCACTTAGTTTGTACATGGGGCCACAAAAGTCTCAGACGATTCACTAGTCAAAAATAAGAAAAAAATAGCTGACTAGTATTAACTGCTAAATACTATCAGAGTTGAGCGAGTAAATAAAATAAATCAAATAAAAACCGACTTAGTTTTACTTATATTGTGGTTAGTACGAGTTTATTTCGACTTCCTTACGGAGGTAATTACATAACGTAAAAGGTAAGTGAAGACGGGAGTCGTTCCGGTTAAATTCCATTACTCATTTTTGATGAATGGTCAAGACTTATTATCGCAGAAGTAAATTTTATTTCTTGACGTAAATACTATTAAACTTCAGCTGCAGGTAGTTCTAGCCCATTAACTTCCATTTCAGCTGCCACGGGAAACTTCCACCAGGAGAGCTTAAAGTGTGTTATTTTCAGAACTATGAAAGCGGGTGTATTTTAGCCCAGATCGAACTGCCTGCATGTTAATGCTATCGATATCTCGTACAGCTACAGAGGGATTAATAATACGTTCCGTAATGTTCTCTATGAATTTAGTGAAATGTAGTCTAATTAAAGTGAACATTGAAGGTCTTCTTATGTATTATACGGATTGAATTTTTAACGAGTACTCTTACTTTAAACAATTGCAGTTTATTGTTGTGTCGTTTTTTTGTGAATAAATTACACAGCCACATAGAAAAAAAAAAGTTGGGTATACTTTTTATGCGACATATATTTTTTGTAGTAATTTGGCCTCCTGAAGACGAATCTGGGGTCAGAATTGGCCCATCACATCACAATTTTTTCCTAACCTCAGAAAACTTGTGAAAAATAGTGAAAATTGATGAAAATTTACTGGGAAAATTTGGAAAAAAATTTATTTCCACATCAAATAGTACATTTTTATGTAAAAGACTCTGCTGAATTCAAATCCACTGTCAGAATTGAGCTAGAACGTGTGGTTTTTTTTCTAACCTCAAAAAACCGAGCAGGAATCGCTATTTTCAAATTCTGAGCGGATTTTGACCAGATTTTGTATAAAGGGGTTTTTTGGGTCGCTGATTACGAATATGAATTCACATTGTAAAAATTCAAGATGGCTGATCCAATATGGCGGGTGTACTTTTTTGAAATCCACCGATTTCAGTAAAATTTGGCATCATAAGGATTGCTGGTTGATCTCACCTTCATTAATCACACATCTGGAGCCAGATTTTCATAAATCAAGGTAAAAGATTCCACTCCGTCTAAAAATGTGACTTCGCTTAAAAAAATGACTTAAGGACTCTACACATGTAATGATGTGTAGTGTGATGTGCTTGTTTCCATGGGACAAGACAAAAAAGTTTCTACTTTATTCTTTCATTTATTTAGTCGTGCATGGGCTTATGGTTTTCCAATCAGATTTTTTTAACTACTATGCAGTTTTCCTATGGCATTTAGATGCTTTTATTTCTTAATAATTTTAAAGTTCAAGGAAAAGGACACATTACTGCCACACAGCACATCACTGCATCTGCTTATGCCTTCAATCTAAAAATGTGACTTTGCCGAAAAAATGCCGCCTACTCGGCCTAAAATTATGACTCTGCCTACAAATTTTACCTTGATTTATGAAAATCTGGCTCCAGATGTGTGATTAATGAAGGTGAGATCAACCAGCAATCCTTATGATGCCAAATTTTACTGAAATCGGTGGATTTCAAAAAAGTACACCCGCCATATTGGATCAGCCATCTTGAATTTTTACAATGTGAATTCATATTCGTAATCAGCGACCCAAAAAACCCCTTTATACAAAATCTGGTCAAAATCCGCTCAGAATTTGAAAATAGCGATTCCTGCTCGGTTTTTTGAGGTTAGAAAAAAAACCACACGTTCTAGCTCAATTCTGACAGTGGATTTGAATTCAGCAGAGTCTTTTACATAAAAATGTACTATTTGATGTGGAAATAAATTTTTTTCCAAATTTTCCCAGTAAATTTTCATCAATTTTCACTATTTTTCACAAGTTTTTTGAGGTTAGGAAAAAATTGTGACGTGATGGGCCAATTCTGACCCCAGATTCGTGTTCAGGAGGCCAAATTACTACGAAAAATATATGTCGCATAAAAAGTATATCCAACTTTTTTTTTTTCTGTGTGGCTGTGTTATAGACCAGAGCGAATCTGTCAAAATATCCCACTTCTTGGATGTAAGAGGGGGCACGCTAATTTTTGCTGGAATACCGTCAGTACAACTCACATAATAAAAGTGTAGATCCCTAGATCTGGGCGAGGTCTGGAACATTTTCAAAATTGCAAAAATGTTTAAAAAATTCAAAAAATACCTATTTTATCTGAGTTTTTTACTTATATCTTGGAACCTATGCATTTTGGAAGAATATTGAAGAGGAAAAACGTTTTAGAATTGAATTTTGCACATTTTGCAATTTATTACCGATGTTGCAAAATGGCAATAATTGATGAAAAAAGGGCAAAATAATCAAGTTTTTTGGATAATGTTTTAAGTAAGTAAAAAACTCAGATAAAATAGGTATTTTCTTAATTTTTTTTAAATATTTTTGCAATTTTGAAAATGTACACTTTTATTATGTGAGTTGTACTGAAGGTAATATAGAACTTGCCCACCCTCACATCCACCTCAAAACAGAAAATCTGAAACAGGTACGATTCCTCAACAGAAAGCTTGTTGAGAACCGCTGTGTTATTTGCACGCAACATGATTCGCCTATTCCGGACGTATGACCAAAAATACAATGATGCCAGTGTTACACAAAATTCTTAAATTTTTTATTTAAAAAAGAATAAAGTTAAACAAATAAGCATTATATTACAAAGTTATTGTTCAACTATTATTTTCGAGACGAGCGTTGCGGTTTGTGGTAAACAAATCAGTTTTTTGAATATACAGCCCCACAAAAGAAAGTTGGAGGTCCTAAAGATATGTATATATTTTTGAAGTCGCTGAATCCGAATCCGGTATCCGCTTAACCCGATTAGCTCTGGGTTAAGGGCCAGTTGCCAACAAAGTAAACCTCCATATCTATACATTTTTGAGGACGCCGAATCCGAATCCGGTGTCAATTTGACCTGATCAAGTCTGGGATGAGATCAGTTCAAGATCAAATGTAGAGAGTCAAGTACCAACAAAGTACACCTACATATCTATAGGTTTTTGGGATTGCTAAATCCGAATCCGGGGTCCGTTTAACCCCAGGTCTGCTAAATAATCTAAAATTCTAAATTCAAAATACTTATTTATTAATTAAGTGTGAGAGTTAGAATTTGATTGTATTTGGCAGACCTGATCACGTCAAATGGACCCAGGATTCCGATTCAGAGGCCCCAAAAACGTATAGATACGTAGATGTACTTTGTTTGGCAATTGACTTTCTTTATTTGTCCTTGAACTGACCTTAACCCAGACCTGCTCATCTCAAACGGACACCGGATTCGGCGACCCCAAAAACGTATAGACCTGTAGGTTTACTTTGTTGGCAACGGATCATGTTTATTTGACCTTGAACTGACCTTAACCCGGACCTGATCGGGTCAAACGAGCACCGGATTCGGATTCAGTGGCCTCAAAGGCATATACATTTTGTGGGGCTGTGACTGTGTGGTAGTGGGAAGTGTATTGTTTTATTTAAAGAATTTGTGTACCAAATCATCGTTGTATTTTGTTGTGAGCATGTACGAGTAAATGGGACGACTTCACAGCTTTAGCTTTGACAGGTTATTGACTAAATGTGTATTGCAGGAGCTGACTGTACCTTATTTCGCAATAATTAGGTAGATCTTATTCCAAATAATTTCTTTGACACATGACTTGACAAACTGACAGTTCGTTAATGCGCTTTAATAAATAAAATGATTAAACCTGCCGTTTTAAAAGAATGAAATTGACAAGAGCTAACTCACCTGTACTTCTAAAGCGTGGTAGGCCACAATGAGGCCTAAGAGAATCACAGTCGAAACAGATATCAGAGTTTTGAGCGCAATTGAGTAAAATTCGTCCTGAAATAAACAAAAAATTAATGTACACCAGTCACAATTAAAGATTAAAGAAATAGTTACATTCGTTACAGTTCGTCAAACGAACGGTTCCATAGTCCCACCTTTTGCTGCGCAGTAGGCGGGTTTTACGAAATAAATATGCTTGTGCGCAGTTTTCAGATTGTTTCAAATTATCATGATGGTTTTTAATTTTTGTACATTTTGCTGCTGAATGTTTTTTTTCGATAACTACAGTTTATTTAAGAGTTTGTGATGACATTTATACAGTATGTCAGCTCTAAACTGAGCATTAAGACTTAGAAATTTTATTCGGGCTTGATTTGGGTACTTTTTACGTTAGGTGTCATTCTGAGTGAATCCATGACCTACTCTATTTTTTTACACCTCTAAAACTTGAAATAATAAATTGAAAAATCTGACAACAAAAAGGAAATTATGCGTCACTGTACGCGAAAAAGTAAACAAAATAGTGGTGGAGAGTTATGCCAGCTATATGATTATCTATACCTTATTTCTAGCTTGATTTTTGAACTTGAATTAAGGTAGCCTTGAACTTTTTGCTTTAGAATGGCCTCATCAGCGGTAAAGCGAGCATATAGCCAGCATAACATACGGTTATGTAATTTAATGGTCAAGATGATCGACTTAAGGTGGGTTCACACCAAAACTGATTGCGTTTTACTTTCTGCGTTAGGGAATTCGATTGGTGAAACAAAATTTGACATTACACACAAAATCTTAAAAACTATATAAATGAACGAAACAAAACTGCTTTACTGCAAAAAGTTGAAAATATCCTTTATACTGCCAGTATTTTGCGTCAACAATAAAATTTTACAACGTAGAAAGCAAAAAGAGTTTCGTTGGGAACTCGCCTTTAAGTAGACGATTGTTGCGTCGTAAGGTGCGCCACATGTGGTCACAGTGGTTTTTGATTACTGTTGTCGATTTTTCTGCTGTGATTTTATTAAAAATTAAGCTAAGAATGGCACGTTATGACGTTTACAATCATCGATCGAACACCTCACGCATTCGAAATCCTATGTGTTCGACGGGCTGTCATCGAATGCCTACGCTTAAGCTAGGAAAATAAGCTGGGAAATGACCATTTCGCGACTTTTTTTTCGGCAAGCTGAATTTATCACTATAGATGCTAAATATTATGTACAATAACATATTAGTTTCCACAGTCATAAGAATGGGGGGGAAGATTGTTTACAGGGTGGTTAATTGTATAGTTTTTACGTAAATTCACGTTTTCGCTTATAACTTTTTTCCGTTCATTTCCACGAGAAAACAGTTTTTTCGTCTTCATTTCGTCTTCAAAAGATCTACAAAACTAGCCAGCATCAAAAAATATATTTATGACTTTTGAATTAAACATTTATAAACTGCGTTATTATTACCAGAACGTTTTGGCATCGCATCCTCTCATTTCTTATCACTGTCTAATAACTCACACGAAATCTGGAATCGGTAAGTTTAGATAGTTTACAAGTTATGGCCTTATAAACAAATTAACTAATTATTAGTCTGGACGATCCCGAGGATCTTCCACAAGCGCACTGATTTTTTTCATGGTAATACATTGAAATCTATAATTTTAAATTTGCAACCTGGATTTTTTTAAATTTTTAGCCTTAGTTGTAAAATGAAAATATATACGACGCACGAGCGTGATATAGTTATATATAATTACATATTCAAAAAGCTTATGAAAAGAGCTTTAAGTTAAAAAAAAATCGTCAAGATTCGTTGAAAAATAACGGAGTCACAGACTGTCAAAGTTGACGGCCTATTGTTAAACAAATTAGGTTGGTAGCGGCAAAAAAAATACTGTCATAACCGGCGATTGATTTTCGGTTAACCGTGGCTGGCGGAAGGGTGGGGGAAGCGAACGACAGCGAGTTCGAAGAAAATTACGATAATATTCATAGTCCTGCCGTTAAATAAGCGAAATTCGCTTGAAAATAATATACACTTCTGCAAAAAATTAAGGGAGCAAAAAAATTTTTCGAATTTTTAGTGATATTTCAGAATGCTGTATCTCAGTTAAAAATGATCGTATCAAGGTTTTAAAAAAAGCATTTTAAAGCGCCGAATGTCTAGTTTCCAGATTTCTTAGTTCAAAATTTTTAGGAGCGACAGTCATCGCGAAATTCTAAGAAATAAAACTAAAAAAATTGTTTTTTCAATTTTTTGCGTTTTTTATCTCGGTCCACAGACTTGGAAACATTTTTTACACAAAAATCATGATATGGACTTGATAGCCTGTTCATTCAGCTTTAATTTCTTTTTTTAAATTTTTCTCTATGTTAATTTGACCCGGAGATATTCGACTACGAATACAAAAGCATCCTTTTGGCTTTAACGATCGATATCTCGGCAACTAATGATTAGACAGAAAATTGACGGGCAGTTTCGAAATCTCGAATAAATTTCCTACAAGGCTATGTAGGTTCCTGGAAAAAAAAATTCTTTCATCTTCGACATTAACTTGAAAAAAGTGAAAAAAGTGACTTTTTGACTTTTTTTGCTAAGTCGACCGCATCTTTGCTATTATCGATGGAGAGTCTAATGCTTATACGAATTTTTACACCTCGATGTACCCCCAAAAGCTCCGTAAATGGTCAGATCGATCTATCGAACGGTTTTTCCGGACCGCTTAATCAAAATTTCAGAAAAATTTAAAGGAGCAAAATTTACATTTCTGAGCACCCTCTAACGTTCGTAAAAACGAAAAATTTGATTTTTTTCAATTCTTTCACAATTGGGCATTTTTTGCTCATTGAATTTGAAAAAAAAAATAATTTTTGAAAAAAAAAACGTTTTTTAATTTTTGAAAATTTTTTGAAAATTTACTCTTCTTTATTTTTTAACAACTCAAGATAAAAATATTGAGTCATTTCATTATATATTTCATTTTGCAACTAAGGCTAAAAAATAAAAATATGAAATTAAAATAAAATGATAAATTTCAATGTATTATTATGAAATCTACCATGAAAAAAATCAGCGCGATTGTGGAAGATCCTCGGGATCGTCCAGACTAATAAATTAGTTCATTTGTTTATAAGGCCATAACTTGTAAACTATTCAACTTACCGATTCCAGATTTCGTGTGAGTTATTAGACAGTGATAAGAAATGAGAGGATGCGATGCCAAAACGTTCTGGTAATAATAACGCAGTATATAAATGTTTAATGTAAACAATTTTCCCCCATTTTTATGACTGTGTAAACTAATATGTTATTGTACATAATATTTTGCATCTATAGTGATAATTTCAGCTTGCTGAAACAAAAAGTCTCGTCCAACTCTATATTTCCTGGCCTACGCTGCGAAATCTTGCCTGTTGGAATCGAGCTCGTCCGATCGCGACGGACTGATGGGGACAGAAGACTACCACGCAATTCGACTGGGCGGTTTATATTTGCAGGAATGTAATGCAATTTTATCGTTTCTAGCGGCATTTGTCAAGAGTATCTTTTTTTTTTAGAAAAGAGTATCAAGATTTAATAATTGTATCGAAAAAAATTGGTTGGCCATTGGCGTCGCGTTTAAGAGGGTTTAAATGTAAACTAAAACCCATAACAAAGTTGGTGTCTTTGTATGGAAAATGTTTTTCACGTCAAAATATTAGCATTTTGTTACGACTGGCGTGTACAAAGCTTCAGTGAAATATATTTATTTGTTTAGCACATATTACAAAAAATTGGCTCTGTCCTGCCAACCCTGTATACTACAACAGCGAATAAACCGTCAAGTCGAATTGTGTTAAGAACTTCGCTCCCTGCAGTTCTGCGGTTATCGGTCGAACTCGACTCGAACAGGCAGGATTTCGCAGTCGTTGACATTTGGCGACGTAGCCCGTCGAGCACGTATGATTTTTTAGGCATTCTAGACCATTACCGTAAAAAAACCGCGAATCACATGAACTACTAAAGAAATCTCACTTTGCGGTAAACGCCAGCACTTGAAAGTTCATTTTCTATAACCATAACGATAATCCCGAACATCCCCATAACTAAGGCATAATCACTAATTCGTTTCCTTTTTTCAAACAGGGCTTTACGCCTCCCCAGGCGGTAGCCGACGTTGGGCTTGTGTTTGAGGCTCCCGGAAGATGGTCCTTTGTAACCCGTGCCTATCCCCCGGTCCTCCATGAATCGGGGGTAGTCCACATGCCCCGCCAGCGCGATACTGGCGGGCTCCTCTTGTTGCATCCTGCCGCCCCCAGAGTCCCGGCTGGAGTTCTTCACCGCCCCCGGGATGGATAGGGTTGACACTGGCTTTCTGAGCTGCAAAGGATTTAGCAACATGTCCCAAGGTACTTAATATATCAGCCTGTGTATCAAATTTACCGCAAGACTACGGTCAGGGTTGCTGAACCTTTCCACGAGGTGGTTCAAAGGCACGTGGTGGCTTTCAACCGGGTTTCAAAGACAACAAAGACTTCGAACCTCGAAAGATTACATGTTTTTTTCACGTTTTGCGCTTATGTTAACAGGGAAAGCATGTAAGGGTACAAATTCATGATTTCATTCATGCTGTTCATGTCATCTTGCACTAAAAAAATCATTTTCTTGATATTTTTTGTATTTTGAACCACCTGCGGATTTTCGACCGGCGTCTTGCGGCAGCCAAGCTGTTCTACGACACCTATTTTAACACAAACAAGATAACAATTTTGGCAGAAACATTGATGCTACGAATTCAGTACACTGCGGTAATGTTACGATATTCGGGCGTCGTTAAAAACCGGAGAATTTCCTTACTGAAGATGTCAGATATAACTCGCGTTTTCAATGGAAGCTAGTGTATATTGATAGAGAGAGAACCCTGTCCCAAATGGGTAACAAAGAGGTTAGTGTTTCATTAAAATGTTGTGTTAAAATAGCTTTGGTTCTAAGCAGAAACTCTAAAAAGCATTATGTCTCATTTCAGTTTTAACGGGGACTTCTAGAAAATAAACGCTACTCTTTTGTCACCCCGCTGTGCTGATGCATAGCCGTTATTGTGCAAAGCAGTTTTTAAGTTCCATAATGCTTGTGCCATTTAGATTACTGCGAATTATTTCGCTACAAATAGATATGTTTATAAATTCTTTGTAGTAATTCCTTTGATAAATTACTGAACGGAATTTCAACTGTGGATAAATAATCAACGACTGTGATATATTTTATTTAAAGCCTATTTCACCAGTTGTATCGAAATAAATACAGGGTATTCCAGAAATAAGTGCCAAACTATGTATTTAAAAGTTTGGAAGTTTTACATGTTTGCCCAGTATATTTTATCCATTAAAATAATACTAACGCTCCCATGTACTAAAGAAATATCTAAATAACGTAGACCAAGAAATAAAGGTGAACAATCATCGAGAAATCGTGAAAAGTACTGGGCGTGATTTTATTGTTGGAAACTCTTGAGAATGATAATACAAGAGGCGTCTCATCAAATGCGTAATGAAAAAAGTATAGCGTCATTGTTTTTTATCAACAAATAGGTCAAAAATTCGTCATTTTTCGTTCTACGCGTTATTGTAAAAAAAAACTATTAGTCTTAGCAAAAAACGTTCAACAGACGATTTAATCTAGAGACACTCATCTTTAAAATGAGACTTTATAAGTTAAAATTGCTTTATAAACAAAAAAATTATTGCAAAATTAAACGTAAAAAGTGCTTCTTCTTTAATTGTCAATAACTTTTTAAATAATTAATAAAATCTTACCAGACTTTCCCAAAATGTGAGTTTTTATATCCTTAAGTGATGTGCAAAAGATGGGCTCGATCGGTCAAATAGTTTTTGCAAAATTCCATTTATTTATCCCATTTTTGCAAAAAGTTTCATTTTAAAATTACTATTCCGTGAGCAGGGTTATGACTAAAACATTCTTTTTGGCCTCATTTTCTTCGAAGGGACACCAAGTATCCTCTAGTTAAAAAATTTTTTTTTTCAAATTTAGTTGTATATAATTGTTACCAAATAGAAGGCACTATTTTTTCCCTTAATAAACAAATAAAATAACTCCGCGGTTTTTAACTTCTTAGAGAAGTTATATACCATTCGAAAGCTCATAAAAAAACCTACAAATTGAAAGAAAAAACAAGTTTCTACGACCAATAGGTCCAGAGTTAGCTTTTTTTTTTTTAAATCACAACGCAATTTCTTATAAACATTAAGACCTGAAATTTTAACATTTTGTAAATGAAGGTTTAAACTTTATGCCCTGTTAATTTTAATTGAATTTGCCCATAATTGATCAATCCAGAGCTCGTCAAAGTTTGGTAAGATTTTATTAATTATTTAAAAAGTCATTAACAATTAAAGAAAAAGCACTTTTTCCGTTTAATTTTGCAATAAATGTTTTGTTTATAAAGCAATTTTAACTTATAAAGTCTTATTTTAAAGATAAGTTTGTCTAGATCAAAACGTTTGTTGAACATTTTTTGCTAAGATTAATAGTTTTTTTACAATAACGCGTAGAACGAAAAATGACGAATTTTTGACCTATTTGTTGATAAAAAACAATGACGCTATACTTTTTTTATGACCCATTTGATAAGACGCCTGTTGTATTATCATTCCCAAGATTTTCCAACAATAAAATCACGCCCAGTAATTAATAAATTTCAAAATGTTTCCTTTCCTGGTCTACATGCCAATGTTTTATGCGATGATTCACTGTCTTAAAGTTTTTTACTAGACTCCGTGTTGAATGTAAGAAGCACGACGATGTATTAATAGTTGTGATTGTGCCGTTTTTCAATAGCGAATTTGTTGGTGTGATGTGGCTTTCCACGAAGCCCTAGGGGACTCTTCCAAGGCTCGTATGATTTATACGAATTGTTTCTCGAATCGTTTTTTACCAAATAGACGCATTCTGCTGTTCGGGAACTTCGGAGTGATATTTTAATGAATAGACAATAAACAAATGACTCGTTAAACCTTACATTACATGTACTAGGTAGGTTAGATGGTATTTTACAAGTAATGTGCTAAATGATTTCCTGAATGATGAGGAAATTAGTCGAAACAAGGGATACGTTGTGCTGGTGCTGGTGTTGAGAGTGTTTAAGTCAGTTCTGGACAGTAGATTGGTCGAAATGGTCCGGTTGCGTCGCCGTCGCCTGCTCGATCGACAGGTTTAAATCCGTGTGATTTTTATATATGGAGTCGTACGAAACGAACAGTGTTTTGAGCAACTACGAGTTGGTATTGAGTGTATAAAGAAAATTTTCAATGTTGTGTAGCCTTGAGAGGACATTTTGAACATTTGCTGTAACGACGTTTACTTCTTTTTGGTGAGTAAAAAGCTTGTCGTTTTCCACTTAGCTAGTTTATAACAATTTTATTATTTTTAAATAGTAGCCAACTTGATTCCGTACCTTTTTATTTATATTAAGACTGACTATTCAGTGGCGTGCCAAGCGGGCCAATCGAGACATGCGTGAGCCGCTGCCTCAGAATGCTCTTCAGGTTCACATCACGTTAGTATACTGTTGCCTTTGTTATCGTGCGGATGTTGCGTAATTAATTCTGTTGGTGTTTATGGTGGTGTATTATACAGGGTTAGTCAAAAGTACGGACACCCCCAAAAATCTCAGCGGAAAAGCATTTTTGGGATAAATGGTGAGGACAAAAGCAGCAGCATTTTTCACGGTGCATCCGATGGTAACTATGGCCTTGAGGTTAAGGTCAGGGTTCAAGGTCATATCAAGATCAAGTCAATTTTTTTAAATGGCGACCTTCCCTCGGCTCCGGAAATGGAAAGAGTAGAAAATTCTGCATCCGAATATGACATTGACCTCAAGGTCAATGGTCAAGGTCAGCTCAAGGTCAAATGTTGATTTTTACTGACTAGGTCACTAAAAAATTGTGAGTGCCTTCTATCCATAGTCGAAAATAAAAAATGAGCCGGAATAATCACTTGACCTCTACTTGACCATTGACCTTAAGGTCACGTTTAAGATCATAGTAACATCTAGAATTCTAAGATGTCTTATTTCTAGCGTCAAAATAAGGAATTGCTAGTAAAAACCGATACGACCTTGATATGTTCTTTCAAGCTTGACCTCAAGATCAAGGTCACTAAAGAGTACCATGAGGTATCTACTCAAAGACTGTCACTCCCTCTGATTCCGTATTTATTAAAAAAAAGTAAAAGTAAAAATTAACATTTGACCTTGAACTGACGTTGACAATTGACTATGAGGTTACGGGGTCGAAAAGGAGGGCGCCATTTAAAAAAACCGACTTGATCTTGATATGACCTTGAACCTTGACATTGACGGATGCGCCGTGAAAATTGCTGTGACATTTGTCTTCACCATTTATCCCAAAAATGCTTTCCCGCTGATATTTTTGGGGGTTTCCAAACTTTTGACTAACCCCGTAGACAATTTAATTTGTTGCTTTTTAATAAATAATGCGTACGCCTATGTCCCGCGGCTCAGTTCTGACAGCCCTATTTATTACTCCATCAACTAAGCGTTTCAATTTATGCTTCAGTGGCGGGTAACGAAAATTTTAAATTTGTGGTATCTTAAAATTATCAGACAAAAGTTGTTGCTTTTATGAGTTAAATATTCTGTTGAAATTTTGGCACTTATTTCTGGGACACCCTTTATAGGAAGTGGTTAGACAGAATGAATCAATCACCTATTCAGGTAAAAATTGGAAGAAATATCGCAATAAAAAAATATTGATAAAAACAGTAATTTATATCGAATTGTTCAGGGCATTTATTTCGTATATGTAAAAAATTTAGTAAAAGCTTTGCCAGTTGTTTTAGGCCCGGTACTTTGAGTCCCGGTTAAAGTTTGATTAACTGATCAGGCGATTAGACTGTACATATAGTGATTTATTTTATAATAGTATATTCACAGTCTAATCGCCTGATTAGTTAATCAAGCCTTAACTGAGATTCAAAGTACCGGGATTCAAAAAACGGATTGTACAGCACAGCGTGATGACGGCAAATGAGTTTTTGAACGGGTAGGGGGATCAAGTCCGTCATTAGGCCTTGTCTTTCCAGTCGGACGCGAAAAAATCCTGTAATTGCAAATCCCGCGGGATATCGCCAAATAAAATCGGAATTATTACCGGGAGCAGATGTTCCGAAGGCAAATTTAAATACCGCGATGAAAAGGTGGGATTATTGATTCCTAGTTTTGCGAAACGATTCTCCGGTGAGACATAACACGCTTGTAATGCTCGCTGCACCACTGACAGATAGCGCAGCACAAGGAAAGGAAAATTAGGGTATACATAATTTCCCTCCTCCTCCTCCTCCGC